TGGCAGGAAGCATATCTTTATGTAATTCTTTGTAGGATTGGAGATGGGGTGGAGTGAAGCCCTGCCATGGAGATCACTGCACGAGAGCTCCTTCCTGGTGCTGGATGTGCTCRTTCTCGCTGGCCAGGACACTGAGGAGCCACAATGTGCAGGTGAGCTGCACTGCCCTTCCTCCAGCACTTCCTCCCAGCCCCTCTCCACCAGCAAAACTGTGCTGACGGCGTGGGGATCTGTGATGTTTATAGCTGGGGGTGTTTATGGTGCCAACGAGATGCCAGTGACGTCTCTGCGTTTCTGAGGTTGTTCTTAAGCTGAATTAATTGCCAAACTGGCAAGTTCTTGTGAAGCTCTGGATCGACGTGGCTGAAGGTAGCCTGACCCACTTCTGCTGAACTGGAACTGATTCAGTAAAAACAGGTCAGGCCACTACGAGCTGCCCCAAGCCCTGTGTGAGTGCCAGCTCCCAGCCATGTTAGCATTCCAGCTGGATCCGTTTGAACATGAGTCCTCAGAGCAGGCTGACACCCAATGAGGCTGAGCCAGGCATTGGGATGAAGGAGAATGGAAGAGAAAATTAACGTTTAGAAAAATCATCATTTKGGGAAGTGGTTGAAAATGGCACTAAACAAGAAATTAAAAATTAAACTAGCAGGTAGGTTTCCTACTCACTGGCCTTGGGCTGTGGCTCAGGATACTGCTTGGGAAGACCTAYGAATGCAAGAAAGGAGATGTGGAACCAGCCTGGTTTGTACTTTAAACCCCATTAGAGAGGTTTAGAGATATTAGTAGAGATATGGCTAATCATATACAAAGAAGTCTTTTGCTAGCCCAAAGTAATGTACAGTGAAGCTGGGCATTGAAATATGCCCTTGCCACACATTTGCTTTGAATATTTGCTGAATAATACGTCCATTCAGTTATTCATATTGTTATAAACATCTTAGAAAGCAAAAATTCTTTCAAAGGAAATGTCAAAAAAAAGCCTGCCTCTCTTAACTGTAGTACTGGCGAGTATGTCTTTCCTCTTCTCCACATCTCCTCCAGCAATCAGTAAAAACTGTTAATTAACTAATAACCCRAGGGCAGTCCCTGGCCCACTGCAAGCATGGCAGGATCCATGCAAGGGGGCAGAGGAAGATTTGGGCTTGCATTCCAGCAAAGGTGTCCACAAAGGGATGTGCTTCTCTCTAAGGAGCTGTCAGGTCACGCTGACACTGYTGCCTTCCAGCATGGGTGTTCTGCACCAGTCATCCACAGGGCAGCTCTTTCCATGCCACCTTCCCGACACAGGGCTGGGGCTCCTCTGGAAATGCTGTCAGTGTTGTACCTGTGCCTGTGCTGGGTGCTGTCTCGGGTGAGCTACAGACCATTGCTAAAATGCACTCCCTACCAGTGGGGAGCAATCACAGCACCAGTTTGGACAACCATGTGTTCCCACTAAGCCCTGTTGTACTGTGCAGTAATTAAAAAGTCATGAGTCCTATTTAAATATAGGGCATTCTGTCCTAAACCTCGAGTGCCTGTGGGTGTGAGTAAGCTCACTCTCCAAGGATGTTCCCTGCTCTGTGTACGTACACCAGCTTCATCAAAAGGATAGAGGAAATGCCAGATCCAAATACACCAATTCCACTTTTTTTTTTTCAATACATCACTGATCAGTCCAGGGATGGCAAAAATTAATAGTAATGAGCTAATTACTCTACCAGCTGCCTACAAAGAGGGGTCCTGTAGGCAGACTCCTTCTGCCCATTTGCCTGCTGGTTAAACCACTGCTCTAGAAATTATAAAACAAAACTTTTGTCCCTTTATAAACATCTATCAACATCACCTTTATATGGCCCACAGCACCAACACTGCCTAGCTTTTAAGTTCTCAGAATGCAGCCAGAATCTCCCCTAGCACATTCTAACACATTTTACTGGCTTGAGCAGGGTAAAACACAGCCGTCTCCTCATGTGAATGGCTGCTGAGCTCCAGCAGCCCCTGCACCAGGCCGGGCTCACCATCTGCGTTCCTCCCAATGTCCGAAGCCCGTTCACAACTGCCAGCCCTTTGAAAAGGCAGCCTGTTTTTCTGATTGATTCACTTTTTAATGAACTGGGAAAGCCTGTGAACTTAAACCCTGACACCTCCACCTCCCTGCCTTCCTAGCCATCCCTGCAGCAATGTACTGATTATATTTCAAGTTATTATGGGATTAATACAGCTGCCCCCGGTGCCTCTTTCCCCTGAACTTCATCAATAAAAGTTGTGTCCTACTCTTACTCTGGTTAGTTCAGTTCCTTCCTGAATCTCTGCCTGTAACCTGTGATGTGTCGGCAAGGCTGTACCGTATCAGCCCTTCAAAGCTGCCAGCACTGCTGATGTTTAAAACCTACTTGTGTCACGGCCTTGCATAAGCTTTGTGTATTTAAGAGGACATCTTGAGCTTTGCTATGCACTGCATCAGCTCTCTAAGTGGGTAGCACATACTTAGCAGTATTGAAAATAATGAAATAAGATAATCCACCAAAAAACTTAAATAGATTGTGCCAGTGTCATCTTTCTTTGAATTCACAGTAGAGCTATAAAAAGTACTTTACCCAGGCAAGTTCAGTAGAAGAAAARAATGAAGATGGGGGAAGCAAAATACCTGCGTCCAACATAGTCCAGTTTTTCACCAACATAATTTCTTTGTACAGCACAAGCTTTACGTTTGCTTTTTTGTTGGTTTTATAGGTTGGGCTCCCGCCCCCCCCCCCCCCCCCCAATACTATTTTCTAAAAACATCATTAAAAATGTAATTAACTGGCTTATTCTTTGAGAAGTCTGCAGTTGTTTACAAAAGAATTGCCACACAAGCTGCCACCTTCGACTGTGTTGAAGTAGGAAGTGATGTTCTTGTTTATAACTGTGCATCAATTTCACAATATATTTAGTTTTGGTACAAGTTACATATAAAATTCTCACTGAGTTTAATGTTGCAGCAAATAACACATATAGTAAGTGAGTAGGATTTATCACTGGCTGTAATGTCATTGTACATATTCAAAATATATAAGGTGAATGATATATACACATGCACATGCAAAGAAAATGGAAATATATTTAGTTTAAGAAGTGATGAATTGTGCTTGCTTTTATAATTCTCATTTTGTACCTAGGAGAAGGGAGATCAAGCACATCCGTGAAGAGGGTGGCTGGTTGGGATCACATCTGAGAAGCAGAATAGTCACCAAGGAGCAGGTTAGAGAAGAAACAGCACTTCTGTACCCATGGCACGAGACGGGGGCCTCAGGAGAGGCACCCACTGCAGTTGGTGGGACACAAAGAAATCCCATGGAGTCCCAAGATGCTCCCACAAAACATAAAATATCTATCCAGCTAAAATGCTTCCCTCAAGATGTTTTACTCAAGCATTTTTCTTAAAGAAGGAAGTGGTAATTTTCCCCTTTAAATTCTGTTTTCTTTTTTCCCCCCCTGTTTGGTCTCTCCCGTAAACAGAGGCCAGAAGGCTATGCTTAAATAATTCATCTACAAATTTGCAATATCTTTTTGAACTATAGCAATTAAACGGAAAATAGAAAAATCAGCTCAGCATCCTGTTTGGATGTAATTAAAGGTATAATCTGTTCCATTTGAATACTTCAGTGCTTACCCTTCTTAAAACAACAAATAAGAATAGTAGCTCATTTGCAATATGCTTTTTTTTTCAAGTCAGCTAAAAAGACTAACTGATGAAGCAAGAATAATAATTTTTAAATGTGGCATAAGCACAAAAATACCAAGTACAGCTTTCAAATGATTGCTGCAGATCTCAAGTCTGATGAGAGTTCAGTAACACGGGGTATAAGCTTTATGGCAAAACACTGAAGTCTTCCACTATTTGGTATCAGCATCTCGATATGGCTGATATAATTACCTATCAAATACATCARTGGAATGAATATCAGACGATATCCAAAAATATGTAAGTGGGATGCGTATCAGCTCAGTCTTTTAGGGGCTGTTTGATCTTAGCGYTTTTTCCTTAGAATAAAAGACAAATACCGCATTCATTGCCCCTTTGTTTTCTATAAGCAGCTGAAGATTTTACAGCACAATAAAGTCAGCCTATTAATGGCTGGCTTATGGGTTTTAGCTGGATTTTTACCCTCCTACTGGACATTTCTTCAGTGCTCAAAGAAATTGAAGTCAGGTGTAAAGTTAATATCTGCCTTGTTCATTTATTCATATTGTAAGCAATCAAGATTTCCCCAAATCACAGGGCAATCTCTTGCCTTTTGAGAATTAATACAGGCCCTGTTCTCTCAACTTAGTTTAACAAAACAACTGGCACAGGTTCAATGGAAGCGATGATTATTCTGAGAGGTTATGGTGAACCACAGAAGTTGTTAGCGAGAAGCTTGCTCCTAAGATCCCCTAAGAGGAAAACTATATGGATATTTCAGAATGTAATTAACAGCATATTCCAACAATGTGAGGAAGAAACATGGTCTGCTTTAGCTGCAGAGGAATCTGGCTGCACAGGGAGGGCTTTGGCTTGCCCAGCAGCCACTGCTGGGAGCAAAGGACACAACGGGCACAGAGGGGACCCCTCAGCAGGGCTGGGAAAGGCAGTGGGGTGGGCTYTGTCCATGGGGGCTCCTCTCCTGCTGCCCATCTCCCTGTGCTCAGCAGCACGGCACCCTTCACTGGCTCCAGCACCCAACCAGGAAGAATGACTTTTTTCAAAATGTTCATTTTCTCTCCACTATATTCTCTCAAAAAATTATTTTAGGGAAGGCATGTCTCAAGACTAGTTTTGGTCTTAATGCTATTGTTTGTAGGACTGTTTCAACAAAATTGTTCAGGGTTTTTTGTTTAGCTTTAGGTCTTTTAAAGTTAAGTACATAGCAGCGGATAAAAACAATTCTAAAGAGCAAAATATCWTTTTTTTTAATGTTTTGTTAATTTAAAAAGCAATTTTCAAGCTTCAGCACGTGTAAGCTCAGGTGAATAATGCAGCAGAAAGCTGATTTAAACAGATAAAATGATCACAAAAATGTAAGAGCAGTATTACACATGGGAACCAAATGGCACAATGGTCTACAAGGCCTCTCTTACAACACTGAATGTGAGAGAACTTTAAGCTTAAATTTGTTGAAAGTTAGCACCTATTAAAATTTCCAGCCTTCCTGGGGTGCATTCTGCACTGTTTGAAAGCCCAGGCCCTTTTCAGGACTGGTCCTTCRGGGGCCTGAGCCCCCTCAGAGCTTTCCTCAAGCATTTTCCTCCTTCGGGGGCCTTCAGTGGACAAGCTACAGGTGAGTGGGGTAAAAAAGCCTCAGGTGAGCCACCCCCTTATGTCCTTTTGCCTCCCCCCCGAACTGTGCATCCTCCTGCACACCAAAAACATTTCTGTGAGCTTAATGCTAGAACTGCTGTTAAAAGAAAYGCAACAACAGAACTCAGCTTATTAAAAAATACCCACAGAGGAAGGAAAAAAAATCCTCAACACAGTAGCGTCTGTCTGCAGTAAACAGAGCTCTTTTCAGGCCTTGGGCTCAGACATAAGCCCACTCTACCAGGGTGAATGAATTACTGTCAGCTGGGCCGTTTTCACTCAGGTTTAAGCACAGGCATTTCACCTGCCATTTGCCAGGAGCCAAGAGCTGCTCAGGTGGCATTTGTTATCCMTATATAACAAACCTGCAGCAGTTCCCCCAGCAGCAATTGCCTAGGCCATGGGTCACACTGCAGGACCAGAGCCTCCACCCCCACAAAGAGCATCTCTGAGACAAGAGCCYGTGCCTAAATGAAGCAACGCTTATCTCATGCATGCCACAGGTGTGATGTCATCCCCTCTGGCAGAGGAACCAGGATGTCTACAACCTCCACTTCTCAAAAAGGCAGGAACTAAAGGTAACATGTCTCAGACTTTGTTAAAATATGGTGATAATTAAAAAATATAATTACCACTACAAAGTTAATTCCTCACTGAGTTCTTACAAACAAATTTTTAATTTGCACCAAAAATTTACATTTCAGATTTGAAGCCAACCAGGAATGGTACAAGCTTGGCCAGGGACTCCAGGCTGTGGCTGGTGGGTCTGCGAGGCTTGAAGGCAGGAACACTGTGGCTTCCTGGGAACATCACAAGCAAACAGTTGCCAGCAACTCCAGGTGCACACAGGTTGGATTGCTTTAAACTCTCATCCCTTGTATGAGTGTGAAAATAATCACTGTGTCAGATAAACTTCTGCTTTTTATTAAAAAAAAACCCAAACAAACCAAACCAAACCAAACTTATAAGGTAATTGATTGCTTTCCTCTAGTCTTTTATTAGTTATGATTAAGGAGCTATAGTAGCCCTGTTTACACAGCTCCAACAAGTCAGGACCTGCAGAACRTTATTGGCTTGGGGCCCACAACTTGCTGTCCATTCTCAACAGAATCAATCTGGAGCTGAAAACATCCCCGTAGGAAGCGTACGCATCCCTGCTTATACAGGAACACAAACAGCAATAACTTCAGGYCCTGTAAGTTGCAAGTTCAACTTACAGAGATCAGCCCTGACTTGTCATCGCTCTCAGCATGTTGGTGATGAGATCAGAGCACTGCAGCAAGGACTCCCAGCCTGACAAGGGACAGAGGTGAGCGTGTTACACCTCACTGGCACTCGCTTCTCCGGCTGCAGGAAGGAATCGACAGCTCCTCTGTTTAACATGCACTCACGGCACTGCCAGTCTGAAATGGCTGATCAGTAATACTTTAATTGCAGTTTCATAGAAACAAATTGCTGTTTAATTGCAATAAGCTTGTCTGTGGCTTAGCTGGACTGACAATAGGCATACACCTGGTAGKAACAGCAACAAGCAGCAACAAGGGTTATCTGGTACTGCATGTACAGGAAGGAGGCTCAGGCAGTGCCATCAAACCCAGAACACAATTTCACACTGGTTAAATWTAACATTTTAAAAACTTATATACATAAATGTGCTAATCTCATTTTTATTTTTTAATAGGGCTGTTTAGAATATGGATACTTCCAAARAGCCTCACATTTCACATATAGCTACCAGCAAAATAATTTAATAAAATATTTAAATTGAAATMATCTTTTGAAATCACAGAATCGGGTTGTAAAATATTTCTGAGATCATTGAGTGGAACTGAACACCACGTCAACCAGACCATGGCATCAGTGAGTGTCCAGTCTTTCCTTAAATGCCTCTGGGGCAATGACTCCGTGACCTTGACAGTAAGGCATACTATGCCAGTTTGTGAGTTTTGGGGGGTTTTCRATATTTACCCTAATGTTAGACAATGCAAATTTTATCAGTGTTAACTAACAGGGAAAAAGGGAGACAAACTCAGTGTGGTTAATATTCTGAAGATGTGACTTAATTTCATAGCCTTCATTTTGGTAAGACATTCTCATTTTATATTTCATAAGATACTGCATAACCTGTTAAAATATTTAAAGATAAATCATGTAGGACTGAAAAGACAGTATCTTGTTGCAAACAGAATTTGGTTTGGAAAGGCTTAATGTCCCACTGCCTGCCAGGATGCGTAAATCTCATAACTAGACAGCTGGATAGGTAACAACATTAAACCCATTTAGAGGGCAATCTTTTTACAAAATTGTTTCATTAATAAGAGTGACAATTTATATGATTGAGATGTTTAGATGCAGTATAGACAGAGCATTTTATCCAGGTTCATGAGGATGATTTCAGATTAGTAATATTTCCTTTGATTCTTTTTTTTTAACAGCATTCATTTTTGAAAGTAAGGGGAGCTCTTACTGAATGATTATTTGATTTTTCTGCAGCACTAAATGCAGAGGGAGTATTTCAGCCTCAGTGCAGCAAATACATGTGATAAAAGGTGAACAAGTTGGTGTTTTTCTTTACAGATCTCCTAAAAAGAAGTGATTTTTCACATAAGGACGAATCTATGGGTTCCCAGTAGCCTTCTATCCACACCTAGCATCCCCATTACAGGCTGTTTCATTGTGTGAAATGCCTCTGGTTTCAAGAAAGTGTTTTACCTAAAGCAAGAATACTACTTAAATATGTTCTATTGTATATTCATAGCTCCATTAGTCCTCCTGCAATTTAGCACATCAAAGCAAAGGCTTCATCACTTGCATGTGGATTATGCTAACATGAGTGACATTTGTAATCTTATAGGTCTGCAACTTAAGAAATGCTTTTAAAGTAAGCTATTAAATAGGTAGCTGTGCTTTACAAATGAGTCATATAATAGTTTATTTAAAGCTGTTAATGAACTTCAACCTCTACATCACTAAATGCTATACTACATTACTTACTAGAAGTTATTAGCTATCTTCTTAGCACTTCTAGGTTATATTGGACAACCAAAAATCTGTACGTTAGATTTAAACACTGTACCTTGAGTGCTTATACTGAAAGAATATAAAAAGATGTCTACAGTCTCACTAATACTTGAATTCTATATTCATATGACTTCAAGTGTCTTTTCAAAGATATTGAAGCAGCACAATTTGCGGGACTCTAAAGACTTTAATGCCAGATCAAAAAGCTTAAAAACTTATTTAAAATACCCATAAGTGCATTTAATTAAAAGTCATACATAGTGTCAGTCATTTATGTTGTGCTTTGTATGTTATGCAAGTAGTCTTTTGTCTTTACTGTCTGACACTCTACATTGCTACATTTTCTTTTCTCTGAAAGAGTGCTTCTTCCTCAAGAACTGATGTGTTAAAAGAAGAAATTCAGGAGCCCTCCAATATACTAGAGGTCATGAAGTAGAATCTGAAACAAAAACATCTGCTGTTGGTTGTTTAGATAGGCAAATCTATGAATCAGCTTTTTGTGTATCAGCATCACAACAAAAATAAGTCAAGTTCACTCCATAACCAAGCATGTCGAGCAGTGAACATTTTCTAAAAAACAGAATTAAAATAATGGTGTGTTACAAATGCATTAGTTTCCTATAAAAGTAGAGTACTTCTTAATATTGATTTGCTTTTAATTGCAGCAAAGGCAGATTCGTTGCTTGCAGGTTCCTGAGTGAAGGCATACAGTGCATAGCCACAGATCCATATTCGTATTCTTGCTAAAAACATGAAAAGACAGATTTTTTTCCCCCAAAATTATTCTGCACAGATCTACCCCAAAGCAGCTGATGGTAAAATGAAGCTGTTCCCTTTCTAAGCTTAGAGATGGGTCTGCTGCTTTGTTGGGAGATGGTTTTTGTTTGTTTGCTTTCAGAGAACAGATCATATTTTGAGATCAGCCAGTTACTGGAAATAACCCAGGAAACAGSTTTTATTTCCTTAAGATTATCAGTGTTGTAAAGTTAAAAAGTCTCTTACCCCAGCAAACACAACTTTACGTTGTTCAGATCAGAATAGCTATTGTATTCCTTTTCATGAATACTCAATTCTGGTGCTCAGCATGAGGTACAGACCTTTCGTTGGCTTTTATTTTTTTGACCTCTGCTGGTATATTCATACCCTCTTATGCTTGCATGCTCAGAGACACATGCACAYCCTTAACACAGAAGGAACTGGAAAGAAAGAAACCACAGTACCTCTGTGTGTGCTGTAATTCACTGCAGTGTGAATTATAATATACTTGCTGTTACCAGAATTAAGAATCTCCATGAAAAAAAGGTTATTTTGAAGTAGTGCTTCGTATCCTTGCCAAAAGTAACACGGTCAAGTAGTTTAGCAGATTCTTTACTGGCATAAGACAAAAGAAGAAGTCCAAACCAAAAACCTACTTTAAGGTAACTGACAATTAAAGTAACAACTATGYAATATTGAGTTGCAGAACGTTTTGAATGTAATTAAAATAAAAAAAAGCAATGCTTCTAAAACCCATACTCAATTCAGTTTTGTTTTACTTTTTATTATTTAAATACACCATACTAGAGCAAATGTCTCTGAAAATATCACAAATAAAAGATTTTTCTTCATTCAGCAAATTAGAAGTAGGTGAAAATTTCTACACAGTAGCTGCTATGAGCCTTTTTTTTTTGCCATGGGAAGTAGCAACATTAGGACAAAAACACTTACATGCATACATACATTGTATTTTACAGATACAATAAAAGTGTTTGTGATAGAATATCACAAAAGCCACATCTTTATCTCATGTTCAGTTTGATTGAAACACATTTCCTTACAACACTTAAATATACAAAGAGCAAATAGAATGTTGTTAAGGTAAAACACAGGGTACAAACTGGCCAGTGCCCTGCTAATTGTTAATGAGGGTAGAAAGCAGATTTCAATGCTTCTTTTAATTAGCTTCATTAGTCATCTTCCCCACCCGCCCCCCCCCAAGATGTCCTCTGGTGGATCTTTTTTCATTTTCTCTACAGTCTCCCATTAGCCCAGGTTCATGGAGTCCTTAATGTTCATATTCAGTCATTTTAATACACCAATAAATGTGGGAAGGGCAATCAAGAATAAAGAAGGTGCAATGGTATGGAGCTGGCATTGATGCTAGCTACAAAGGTGACTTGTCTACTTGGAGACATGGGATCCATCTGTGATGAACAAAATCTGAGATGAAGGCACGCATTCTGCATTACTCTGACCTTTTAGCAGACCTGTAAGAAATAAAAATGGGTATCTTAGCTAAATTTGAGATAGGAAACTACAACATGACTGCTTTTGTCTTTTCCCTATTCACTAATCTCTTTTTTATTAGACTACTTTCCAACTGTGACTAGATTAAGGCTTTCTACACTGTCCATTCATACTGCTAACGTTTCAACTTTAAAGAGCAAAAAGCAAACATTTTTCACTGTTTCACTACGAAAGAAAGCAGACATGAAAAAAAAGGGACTACAACAAAAAATAAGTTTACTTTTTGGTAACGAGTCATAYAGTGAATAAGGTGGTTTTTCTGGGCCCCATTTAAAAGGGAAGAACCATTATGCCATGCCTTTGAAGAAGCGAGTAATATGATCTTGTAATTGGAAGAAATAGTGTGTAAAGCAAATATGAAGTACAGCCAATATCCTCCCAAGGCAACTTTGGTTAATATGCTGCATTGCACAAGAGCTAAATATAGATATTTCAGGATTCCCCCCTCCCATTTAAATTCCTCATCTGGTACGTTAGTTAATGTTACATAAACATTTTAATATATGAAGTCAAACATGTGCTTTCATACTGGTGTTAATGAATTGTGATAATTAAAAGTGTCTAACTCAATAAAAATCTAAACTTTCATGGATAAAGTAGAAATTATCATCCATAGTCTTCAAATACAATCTGTTTGCAATTACCAAAATGAAATAATATATATTAGATTTTTATGGCTTTTAAATGACATTTTGCGCTTCCCAGGAAGTTCTTTTTTCACCCTTTCTCTAAGTTACTAAAAGCCTGAGGTCTATTAGTAACTGCAACCCCCCACTTTCAAGCTAATTAAAGTAGTAGAGGCTTGGAGGTTTAATTCCCCAGAGCCGAAGCTCAGTGTGAGAAAGGTAATTTGTCTGTCCAGAACAAAGATTAGGGAGCAGCCAGCAAGCATATTTAATAAATGAGCATCAAGTATCTTCTACTATGGACACAGACAACACCAATTATGTAACTACAAGGGAATTGTTGAGTGATATGTAAACTAGAAGATTTTTAAGATCTTCTCTAAGAGATGTAATGTAACTCATACTTTATTTAAAAGTTTGGAGGCTGAAGACAAGCATTTGTTACAAACATTGCCAGCCAGTGGGAAATTTACACTTTTAGTAGGTGGTAATAYTGTTGCAAACAAGAAATACTACAGGAATACTACCAGTACCAAAAAATGCTTAGAGAATTCTTGACAATAGAGCCCCKTCAGATGAAACGGCACAAACGACATCACAAACTACGTCTGCACTCTGCAGGCAAGCAGTATCGAGATTAGAGAAAACGGGAGGTTTTTTAAACTACACGGCAAGTGATGAGAAGTTATCATTTACATGTGTGAATTGCCTCAGGGAGGCAAAAGRCAGCAATGGTAAACATCCCTGCATTTGCTTCCTTAAAACAAAAGCAAGTTTTTAAATTAAGTTAGGCCATGCAACCTTTCCTGCCTGCACCAGTCACCTGTAAACTGTAGTAAAACAACACTGAATTCGTAACTGTCACCTACATATGTGCAGTAAAAAAGCGTTTTAATGCTGGCAGTGTTCCAATCTCTTTGGTTAAAAAACAAAAAAAAAATTAACTGTGGATAGTCTGCTGTGCTTATAATCTCTACTGGTAGAATAACCTGGAAACTGATTGATCTTTAATGTTTAATAAAAAGTATCTGTTACAGACAACTGTGTTACAGTGGAAGAATATTTTGAATCAGTGGCCCTAAGACACACAGCTTTCTGGAAAAATCTCTGATGCTAAAATCTTCAAACTGATTAAAAAAGCAAAATATAAACCACAACTCTCYTAGCAACTGCCCYTGTAGCTTCCAAAGTTCCAGAAACCTGACAAATWTATGAATTATCAACTTATCTCTTTAACTRTGTTTGTTTTCTGGAGTTTCAGTGCTCTGCAATTCCCTTTGAAAACCAGYAGGAGAAGTTAAAGCAATTTCCTGAGAGATTGTATTATTTAGCAAAAAACCCCTCAAACTACATGTCCGCTCGATSTTCTCCCTCATCCCTGCTCATCTGCCTCGGCTGTGAGCGCAGCAATGCCGGCAGTGTCAGTGACAGGAGCTCTCTACTCTCCTTGCGTTTAGCTCCCACCAGTCTACAGTCACGAGCTCTGCAAGCCCAGGCTGGTTTTACTTCTCTTTTCCATGTCCTATGTTCCTCATCATGTCTACTGCTTTTATTGCAACTAAATCATTTTTATGTTTTGCTAAGGCAGAGAAAGAAACTGATAAAACTAAATGACAATTTAGACACCTATTTGAAGTTACATTAAACTTTACATTCGTAGAAGACAAGTGGATAAACCACTCTCAGAATGGTAAACCTTTTACTGCAGTGTATAAAGATGAATGGTTTTACCTATATTTTGAAATGGGATACCTATAAATATTCATTTAACAGAACCACTGCTAGCTAGTCTATATTACAGATCTGTTTCATTAGAATTCACAACAGTATAAATCTATGAATCTTTAACTGTATTTGTACTTCCTTGAGAAAAGGCTGCACATTCTCCTCCAATCTTAATTATCTTTGTTCTGCCTAACTATGTAGCATCTTTGTACTCAATTCTCTCATCACCTCGATTGACAAATTAAGTAAATAAAAAAGTCCATGTTTTATTTTGATGTAATTACATTCACTGTATAAGACTTGAAAGAATACTTAAAATTAATCAGTAAATTTATGCACAGAAAAAAAAAGCAAACACAGATATTGAAATGTAGCAACACAACAAAAAAAAATCATGTAAATTGAAGAACAGTTTCTGTTTTCTCGGACATATTTCTCAACTGACTAAAAGCACTACAAAATATACTGCACACTACAGAATAGATCAGCCTAGCATTTGTCCCAGATTTTTTTTAATCTTCCAAATTCCTACTTGCAGATAAATGTTATTTTTTTTGTGATCCTTACAGACATTAATGAAGTTCCTATTGTAAATCTATAAAGAATTACCAACTGAAGTGTGCACTTTTTGTTTCACTGCAATAACTCAGTGCTGTGTGATTGCCTGGGTTAATGATGAAAAAGTCAAATATACTATCAGAGCTGATGGAAAAATCTATCACCAATCTGAAATTAAAATTCATCTGTGGTCAATAAGATTTAATATCCATGCAAGTGGCGCTGTAAAGAGTAAATGAATCAATGTCATCAATACATAATCAGTATGAAATATGATGTGAATAAAATTATGTGCAAGAGTCATACATCCACTCTTTTCTGGACCAGGGTGGAATGAACAGTCTCTTAACTCAAGGTTGACAGTAATTGTTACAAATTAGGCACAGCAGTTATCAAAATGCACTCACTTGCATAGCTTTAGGACTGATTAAGGAGATTAAAATACATCTAAAACTATCTAGCTTCAGAGTTACAAGACAACTGTTGATCAGAAATTCTTTTTCTTCTTCCTCACTATATGATATGTACAGTGATTATTTACTCATGTAGCTAGAAACCAAAACTACCAACACAGAGATACACAATCTCTAGTTAAGCTATTAGTGTTATGGAACGATAATAAAACAGCACTTTGGTTTTAAAATGTTGACTTATAACACACAAAACAGACAAAAAAATACTTCTGAAAGAGTACCCCAGCATGCTTCCTCAACTAAAATCTTAATATTAAAATTAAATACATTAGTTTAGTCCAGGAACTTTCTCTTCACAAGACATTTATTTCCATATTAAAGGATCTAATTTTCCTCCYTCAGAAACCTGCTCTCTTGTAGCCCTTAATTTCAAGATTATAAAATAAAATACTTCTCTTCCTTAAAGGTTGGTATTAAYATGTGCTCTCAATTTTGCTTTGTACATAAGGAATTCAACACCTGTACAGATGCACGTGCCCGAACCAAAATAAACTGACTCACCCTGCATGTCATTTAAAAGGTTCCTATTTTCTCCCCACACCCTGTGCCTAAATAACTTAAGGTGAGTTCAGCTATTTAAAGGTCTCTTTGCAGGGATAGGGAATGTCCACTATTAGAATGAAAAGAAATTGATCTTCATTTAGCTCTAAGAAAGCTTATTAGTAATTGTGGAGTATTCACCTTCTGGTCTGGCAGTAGTGGATTACTCTGAAGTGAATTCAAATGGCCATTGATGAGAGCTGTAGGTCTATCATGTTCACAAAATAAACTGCCATTGATGTAGTGAAACCGATCTCCGGGGACCAGGCGATTCCGGCAGGTAGAGCATGTAAAACACTGGAAAAGAAAAGAGACAGCAAGTGAAACTACAGCACAAATTAAGTATGCTGCAGGTTTGAAAATTACACTTCAGAGACCGCAAGTGCAGTTGAGATATGGAGCTGCTTGGTTTCTAGTATCTCCAAATATGGCATTAGTCTTACCTGTTGGGACTATGCAGTACATAACTCAAGCAGAGTTTTACCGATTACGAGGGAACAAAGCTACACACTAAGGAAAGCTTTAATAGACACTCATTYTTCTAGTTATTATTTTGTGTTTCATTCATAAGCAGATGCAGGTTTTACACTAAAAAGGCATGGCAGTACTAATCAGCTTCTAAAAACAAAAGTACACAGTAAAAACCTCTCACCTTAAGATGATAGACATTGCCTTGTGCCCTCATGACCAGCTCACTAGCAGGAATGGACTGTCCACAKGCACTGCAAGCACCACTATTTCCAAATAACCTGAAACAGAGGTGATGATCATGAATAATTTAATACACAGAAGGCTCTAGGCATTTTTGCACATCACTGCCATGGTTTATTACACAACTATTTTAGACTTCTGACCCCYGTCTTCCAACCTGTTTATGTTTCATATTATGAAAAAGTATATTTTTATGTAACAACTGGTAGCTTCACCTTACCTTGGATATGGTTACACAGGATTTAATCAGAAATATTGACTTACACCTCTAGAAACACAAACAATTCTGTACTACACACRTTTTATCAGATTACTGGGTTCATCATAAAAAAAAAAGATACAATTCATGACTGGAGTTTAAATGCATTGTGTCCTTGAAATTATATGAAGAACTCTTTTGTACTTTAATCATATCTTGAGATATGAGTCATCAAAAGGGTTAAGAGGATTTGATTGTATATCTAAGAAGACATCATGCTCAGTGTATTGAAACTCCAGTAAACCTCCATCAGTGCAGAGTTTCCATTAGAAACTCTCTGCTATCCAGGTTGATATATAATGTGTATGGGTTAACCTTTTCAATCATGGTGTCAACACTTTAGATTTGCCTCTGCTCATCTCTTTCATCCTAACCTTCTCTCTCTCTTGATAATGAAATGCTTGCTCCAACTTCCCTCTATCTGCTCCTGAGTCCACAATTTAGATTACTTCATCTCTGCTAGCAACAAACTGAATGAAATTTCGATTTGAGCAGAAAGTAATTTACCGGGATCTGGACCCATTTGTCATCATATCTCTCTGGGTGTTTGCTGTATCACTGCAGTTTTCCTATGCAATCAAATGAGACCACAACATCTGCCATTGGGGGGGGTACACGCAGTGGGGGGAGGGGGGAATAGACAGAAGAGTGGTGAAGAAAAATATATACATAATTCTTCAAATCCATTTAAAGGCACAATGCATCGATTCAAAATATAATACAATAATGATTATTGAGTTCTACTTTTACAGGCTGCGTTAGCGAGAATTAGAAAAACCTTTATTTGCTTTTGCACGAGTCTCTAATAGACACAAATATTTATAAAGACTACCACAATTCATTTTGCAGTAAAAAAGGAAACTGAACTAGCTGGCAGGGTCACAGACCCACTTTTCTGCACGATGTAAAACATAGCAATAGGATTTACAAATTAGCGTATTGGTGTCATAATAAATATTAATATTTGCATCTCCTTCCTGTCCAAATAAAGTCATAAAATTCTGTTTGTGTCAACCTAGGACACACATTACAACAGAATACCCGTAATCTGAATGATTGCAGTGTGCCTCTGTATAAAAATAATTGCTTTGAATTTTCAGAATCTGAGCTTGCAGAGGAGGCTTGTCATGTTCAAACTACTAATTTGCTGTCGCCACTTTATTGAAAATAGCCTGTAAGTTGTTATTAAATGTATCGACTGAACGACAGAGAAGAGTAGTAAAACTGCCCCTTAAGATGGCTTTTAATAGGAAGCTGAGAAACAAATTTTGCAGCAGCATCGATTTGAAGAGTTCAATCAAAACTCCATTTCAAAACTAATTAGTCTGAGATCCACGACACATTGACACGTTCTTGCAGAATCACAGCGGTTACAAAGGGAAAGCTGAACTAATACATTATCAGGACCCCCCRCCAAAGGGACTAAACTGCCTGGAAACTAAAAGTCCATTATTAGGGCATCGTCCAAAACAGGACCAGTTCCGAGGAGTTACATGATTTACTGAGGTTACTTCCAAAGCTTTGCGATGTACGTTTTTCTTCCTTCATTGTTACTAATATCAAAGTTAGCACTGGAGAAGGTGCACGGGAAGGGCTGCAAGAGGACGCAGAGAGGCACTGCTACATTTCTAGAGCAAGGATCCAAAAATTGAGGGTAAGGGGGATGCAGCAAGGGCATTGCTGGGTAGAAGGGCAAAGATGGACAGTGTCATCGTCCAGGAGAATCTGAACATGGTGAGCCATCTCTCACATCGCTCCTCTTCCCCCGTACAACTGCACCACCCAACTGAAAACACAGCTTTCAGAATGCTGATCTCGTTGCACTGCTTGTCTTCATTAAGCATTCATTTGTTATACTATTCTCTCTGAACTAGAGTGGTCCTACACCTTGAACATCTGTGAATTCTAATAAATGGAGTCAAACTAATCCAGAGGCTTTCCACACATTCTAAGTTTTCCCCAGGCATGTTCCCAGAACAATTCTACCTTAGGAAGATGCTTCAGCTGAATCTTCTACTAAAATTCTTAAAAATTACTTACAAACTCAGAACACCTTTCCGCTGCTTATTATTACTTACCAAGAAAATTAAACTTATTTTTCCTTCTCTACTGTTCTGAACCGTTTTGTTCTATAATACCATTAACAGGAAAAAGGTTTTGTCTTTTAAAAAAATGTTATTTCTCCTTACCAGTAAAGGAAGTCTTCCACATTAACTATTCTTTACTGAAAAAGTTGTTTTGCATGGTTTCTGGGAAGCTGGAAAGCTAATTATCTAACCAGGGGGACTGTCCAGGACAGTATTTGATTTAAAAGGCTTGAGGCTTTAGGTGCTCAATTAAGTAGCTATCGGTCTCAGACTGGACTTTAATGGGCTCTTTTCTCTTTAACTGCAGCAATGGGTAGAGATACCCCAGGTCAGGCTAATTAAAGTCAGGGGACTCTTTAATTGTGATGACAGAATTGGTTTCAGTTTCCTCTTTGGGTCCTCAGTCCAAGAAGGTCATTAATATTTCAACATTTGGGCAATGCAATCAATCACAAACATCAAGAGGTTCCCTGTACGGACACGGCAGCTCTTCTACACTTAGCAGCATTTTACTGAGCCACCTTAAATTAACTACTGTGTGGTTCCAACACAGCATTCCCCACACCCCCAAACACTCCCAGTTTTTTTTTTTTGTTGGTGGGGTTTTTTTTTGGGTGGGGTTTTTTTCAGAACTTTCTRTAGGAGAGTGGGAATGAAAGCAGCAAGAAATCTTCTCAACCCAGTTTCCCATCTTGCTGCTCAAAATTCAACATCAGCAGAAACACGTCTCTAGCAACTTGTACTAACAAAATAAGGTTCCGCTGCTTTCCAAAATCATRGAGACAGATTTAAGCACCCTGATTCTTGCATGACATGGTGCACATTTGTGTTGGCATATATAAAGCCAAGCCCTAGCAAAGAGAAATGCACATCCAGACCTACTGATCCAGAAGGAATCAGTGTTTTTGTACACTCCCCACATTTCATCTAAATTCTGAACCAGCTATATTAAATGTAACAAAGAAAGGCAACACAGAAATTACCCCTGAAGCCAAGTCCATTAAAGGTACTTCAGAATAACTAGAGACCAAGCACCTTAAAAGCACCAGAAGCTATTGATACTTAAAAGGGGGGCTGTGCATAATGGCAAGTGCTGCATTAGAGAAGAGGAAGAAAAAAAAGGGAAAAAAAAAAACCAGCCAAATTACGCTTGGTTAATTCAGAGTAACAGATCTGCCCCCAAGTGAATTGGAGGCCTTGAATTAATTCTGTTATGACAAATCAAGATAAACGTTCCCCCTAAATTGCATGCGATTTAATTAATTTTTGAGATCCTGTTTTTTTTTTTTTTTTCCTAGCTAATAGTTCACATGCTCCTGTGCTGTCATTGTGCTTGAGTGGGCAGACTTCAAAGTGATATTAAATAACCAACTATTAGATTTACCTAGCACGTCCTATTGGAAAAGTGCCATTTAATTACCTAGCCTGTTCAATTAAAGGGACAGCATTCCCTGAATATAGCAGCTTGCCGCTGATTACCAGGGAAATGAACTGGCTGCCCGGCGGCCCCCTCCCCGGCGCGGCCTCACTGCGGCGCGTTGTGCTCCGGCCGCCCCCGCCCCCGGGGCTGCGCCCCCGCCGCGCTGCGCGGAGCGGTGCGGAGCGGCTGCCCGGGGAGGGGCGCCGGGCGCTGCCCCTTTAAGAGGCGCCCGGGCAGCTCCCCCTCTCCCCCTTCCCCACCACTCCCTGCTCTCTCTTAGAGGCCAATTTTGTTAATTAAATGTTTTGTTTGCGACGCGGCTCTCATTCATTTCGGACACGTCATTCCGAGCAGATCTAAGCCAGAGACCAGATCTCATTAGATAAAACCTATCAGAACTAAGAGAAAATGGAGGAGACACTAATTAAAGCTTTTAATTGTGCGGATTCGCTGCCACGCTGCTGCTTTATCTGGCATCTTAAGGTTGGAAGGGCTGCGCTCCACTCCCTCCCTGAGCGCATTGCTCGCCGTGAGGAGGGAGGGGAACGTACCGGGGTTTTCACCCCCTCTCTTTTCCCAGGAACCTTGGCCTTCAATGAAAACTGCAGCTGTAGCTACACGGCCAATTTGTTTTCGGGTTTTGGTGAGGAGAGGGAGGTAAAGGGGAGTGTTGTGTTGTTTAAACAACAACGAAAAACCCCACATAGAGCTTTAGACAGCTAAAAAGCTCATTAATAAATGGCCCTGTGGTCTTGGCCCGAAGGAGTCAAGTCCCTTTCACCTGGCGCCTGCCGGGCCGATCAATCCCCTTTCCCATTTTGTCAGTCGTGTCCAGCGTGCCCTGCGTCTCTGGCTGAGAACTGTGCCCGTGGCTCTTGCCTGGGGAAGAGAATGTGCCACCGCAAAAGCCCGCCGGAAAACTCAGTGAGGGGAAGGATGGCAGAGGAGAACCAGAGAGACTCGCTGTCAGAGTGGYGTTGAAATCGCCACATTTGGTTGTAGAGGCAAAGAGAAAAAGGGCGAGGGCCTCGCTCATGCCACCGTGACCCACAAGGAAACCTGCAAAGTCCATTTCCAGCGGGGAAGCTCCAAGTTAACTCAGCCCCGACAGCGCCAGACCATCCAACTCCACCTTGAGTGTACACTGTCCAGCTCAAGTTTCAGCAAGCATCTGTCAGAGTTATTTTTGCAAGTCAAATTACACAGATCTAAAGAGAAGTCAGGCGATAGGACAAGGAGATCAATTCAAACCCCTCATCTGATAAAGCATCCTATTCATAATCGCCTACATTAAAATAAACGAGTATTAATTTTTGGCAACACAAAACCAGAGGACTGTGATAAGCTTGCCTGAACTTGCCTCTGGGACACAGTGGACGCATCTTCTCTTTTTAATTAGTAGCAATCAGACGTGAGGGTTTGTTTGATGGTGTTGGTCGAGTGATGAATCTGTACTATTCAGTGCATCTTAACAGTAGTGTCAATTTTTCCACTTCAAACRAGACTCTTCCCCTAACACCGTTCTGCTCTATTTAATTACTATTCTGCCAGGCTTAGGCTTGTTGCTTAGGATGATGACCAAAAAGCACCATTAACCCCCCATAATGTGCTGATTTTTTAGCATTTCTCTCTAGAAATAYCCCCAAACTAGCAAAGCTAACGCTTCAATTCCTCAGACAAACCACGGGACGTGTTTTATGTACTTAACTATGTGAAGCCATGGCCACCTACCAGGTCAGAGGCTGCACTATCAGAGTAACCAAATCTTAACTCCATCCTCTTAACTAAGGAGGTCTCTGTGCACTACAATTATTCACTACAAACCACATCTTTTCAAAGGTAATTTTTACAACATAAGCAAATTTGTAACATTTGATGGCCGCTTTTGGTAGGGTTGTTTTTTCCCAGAAAGGGAAAAAAAAGTGGAACATCTTGACCATCAGAGAGAAGGGAAATCCTGCGTTAACTCTTGACATTTACTATAAATGAGAAGTCAGAAGCATTTAAACAGAACACAATTTGTTTTAACTAAGTATTTCTGTGATGCTGGGAAGGTATGGGGCTTTTCTGTTGTTTTTTTAAGTTACTGAATGTTGAAACAGAACACCTCCTTGAAGCATTCATGTGCATCAGTCTATCAAACCATTTACTCAAATTAAATGTGTAATCCTTCAAAATGCCTCCTTTTAAATTAATGAGTTTAAGKAGCTTGAGTTCACCTGAAAAGATCGTACGGGCACCTGACCTCATGAATTCTTTCTATTAATTATATTGGAAACTTGTTGGAAGGGATACTCTGCATAATCTTACAGTACCCCAACAGATGCAAGATTAGTGAGGCTTAGTTCCCCCTACCCAAATCTGTGGCATTTAAAGCAAACAGCTTCAAAAGAAAAAGAGATAAGAAATAAAGAGCAAGAGCATACACCTCCTCTGCTATCTCCTGCATTGTCTATACTGGAAGTTAAGAGAAATGTCGGTTCAAAGCTTCTCTGTAACAAYACTGAGACAAACATTGTAGCACTGTTTTTGCTATAAGTAGAATCCGTGGCCCTCCAACTGATGGTTAATCAGCTCTTTCACAAGGAGAACAGAGAATGAGTCATTCTGTTTCCACTCAAAGGAGTTTAAAGGTGCTTATGTAAATATCATAATTAATCAGATACTAAAGGMAGGCATTTCATTATTTAGCACCTCTGCCATAGCCTTATTTAAGCCCTACCATTTTAACATTTACTGTTCAGATATGCACACTTCTCCTTCAACACTACAACAAAGCAGATTAATTTAGCTTCTCTGATTGCTGTTTATTTTTAGTTAGGACTTGTTTTGTGCTGACAAACCACTTTAAAGTTACAGTCGTCGTTCGCCCCCCCCCAACTCTTCCCTCCACTTGGCAGTCGCAACTGCGCCCTGGGCTAGGCGCTAACATCCGCACCCGCACGTCTCTCCACTCCTAATGAAGGAGCCATCCTAAGCCAGCCCACCTCTCTGCCCTGCGGACACCCACCACGAGAAATAAAGGCGGGGGAGAAGGAGAAAAATGGAGAAAACGGTAGCGAGAAAAGGGGGAAAGTGGTCCTCACCAGCCTGGCCGTCGCCTCACCTGATGTAGTCGTTTCTGCAGAGAATCATCCCACTCTTGGTGTAGCAGGAGGTGCCGATGTCCCCCAGCTGGGCCTGGCAGCAGGAACAYTTGAGACAGCGGCTGTGCCAGTAGCTGTCCATGGCGTAGAGCAGGAAGCGGTCGGCGATCTTCCCCCCGCAGCCGGCGCACCTCTTCCAGGAGAGGGAGCCCGCCGTGACCGGGGGCGGCTGCGCGCTGCCGCCGGGGTTCACCATGGCCTGCGCGGAGAGAGGGGCGGGAGCGGGTCAGCGCCGGGACAGGACGGGCCGGGGCGCAGCGCGGGGCCAGCGCAGCTCCCGGGCCCTGCGGGGGCAGCGGCGGCCGGGCCGCGGGGCAGGGGCGCGGCCGCGCAGCTGGCGGGGAGCGCCGGGCGCGGGGGGCAGAGCGAGCCCCGCCGCCCCCCCGCTCCGGGCTTGTGCAGCTGCAGCTCACAAGTCAGGAACAGTCCCGGGGTTTGTTTTGCTTATGAAAAAAAGTGTGTGAAGAGTGGAGGGAAAAAAAAAAAAAAAAGTTGTGAAACTGGTTTTTCAGTCTAGGAGAGGCTCCGAAGGCTCGGGGCGGTAACGAGGGGCTCCGGACCGGCCCTCGAGGCCTTGAGATTTAATTTTTTTGTAGTTTTCTTTTGGAGAACTAAAACCACCCAGAGAACACACTCCAGACTGAGGACACTGGCCCGAATAATAGATCATTGAACTTTAGGACGCCTGTTAACTTCCTACACAAACATACTCAACTTTTGTCTCGCTAATCTGCCCTTGATCAGCAGTTTAAATGCTAAAGCTTTGTTACTCAAAAAAAAAAAAAAAAAAAAAAAAAAAAA